CCGACGCAGTTTAACGCCCTTCTACTTCAATTCACATCAAACAATTTTGCTTGTAATTACATAATCTGTTGGTTTTATGTAATAACAATTAGTTTATGGAATCTTGGAGATCTTACTTCCACGTGTTTGCTTGAACCAAGGGAATTCCGTTCGTCCTTGGACGTCTCGGTAGCAACACAGTATAGTTCGATAAGAAATGTTATCACTTTTAGATTTTACATGTATCTGGTTTGTAATTAAAATAGTGAACACGTTTTAAATATGTATTGTATTAGGTGGTGATTCATGCATTATTAAAAAGGAATCGATGATTTGCTTCTATTTGTGCTTAGATTAAATGTCATTTATATGTTTGTTTGGAGATGCAATGATTCATCTATTGTGGATCAAGAACATTGGCTACCCATCTGCTATGTGATCTGGTTTCATTTCAAACAAAACATCAAAGAGAATATGTTTACAATGATTACAGTGGGAATTGACAAAGTACAGTAGCTTTTATACAAATTAATGACAAGCAAACGAACTGAATAATAAATAACCATAAAGAGTATATAATGAAGAGAATTACATAATATTGATACATATCTCTTTCACAACTTCAAGAGGAAGCTTTTTTAAAGTTATAAAATTTTCGTAGGAAAATAGGAAATCTGTTTTTTCTTTCTGATTCGTTCCTGTCCATTAATTAAGTGAATTTAGGCCTTCATCCATAAACAAAACCTGATTGCAATCTTCTGTACAGATCAATTGCCATGATTAAACTCTATTGTATTTTTTAAGCAGCGATGAAATTGCCAACTTCCTACCAATTATTCTTGCTTAATAACCTTCTTCTGACCGTTCGAGCAGAAATCAATTTATATTTTGAATTGTCGAATGCGTTGTTACCGTCATCGTAATTGTCACGTTTCTTAATCACTATTTACCTTTAGTTTCGTAATAAGTTTCATTGTTGTGTTTGAAATGAAAGTTGCATGAAAATCTTAAATTTACTAAAATGAAATTTTCATCACCTTAAATCTGTATGTAGTTAGCAATGATTTCACCGTTTCCGTTCAACAACGATAAACCAATATGATTAAGTGTTTAAGTGGAGCATTCGACATCGCGCCAGTTGGTTTTCATCATTGGATAACACGTATTATGGGGTGGAGTAAATTGAGCATAAATATTTTATTTCAATGCAGCCGTGCATAAAACGTTACGCAGAGAAAGTTCTCCCAATCGATGTACTTTTATGGTAGTGACAACTTGCGGCAATATTTTCGTTTTAACTCGTTTTTTTTTTTATTAATTTCTTCAAAATAATTTCATGTTCAGTTTTGTTAACAGTTTCCTAACTGTTTACATTTCTTGTGTATTTTTACAGCTGTCTTTTATTAGTTTAGTCTGACCTACATTGTACAGTATGTGTGCATATTTTCAGATTATAATAATTTGCAAGAATAGTCTTATAATTTATAAATACAGTGGAACCTCGATTAACGACTTTAATCCGTTCCAAAATTTTCGGATTCACTCGTATAGTGAATCAATTTTTCTCATATAAAAGTGTAAAATAGGATTATGCGTTCCATGCCAGAAGAAAGAAGTATAATTTCTCTTGATTTTTAATGATTTTGCTTTTCATATCTATAGTTCTTTTTATTCTTTGACCTTTGCAAGTAATAAAAAACGTCCTAACACAAGTTTGGAAATATGTGTGATCACAAACAAGACTAGAATGACCACTAACAGCAGGAACTGTTTGCCAATTCACCTACGTTGAAGAGAATTTACGCATGACTCAATTTGTTTATACAGTGGTACTTCGATATACGAGTACCATAATATACGACCCGCCGAGCGAGCGATATTTTGCTTTGAGATGAGAGCAAGACTTGAGATACGAGCAAAGTCACGGAACGAATTAAACTCGTATGTCGATCTACCACTGTATTACTTATATCGATTCGGAGTTCCTTTATACTTTTAATACTTGTTTTTATAAAAAAAAAAAACGTACATAGCATATGTATATATTATAATAATGGTTGGACACAATACATTTTTGTTGTGTTTTTCCACCAAACACAAATTATATTTGCAAAATAACTATATTTAACTATAAACAAAGATGACAAAAAAAATCGAAAATGGTTGATATATTAAAAACAAATACACATAATATGTGTACACTAGTTTTCAAAATGATGTAGCAAGCGCACAATCCAGGTCTTCTCTTCTCATCATCACTCGTTATGCGAAGTTAAGAGCGAGTTAAGTTTATTTTGCTCGTTAAGCGAAATGCTCATTATGCAAGGTGCTCGTGAAGCGAGGTTCCACTGTACTTATAACAAAAATTTAACAGCAACTTAATGTTAAAAAATCATCATGCTAGATTTCTATAATATTCTCGATAAACTTGTATTTTGATGGAGATGAAACAATGAGACTTAATTATGTGTTATAGGATTAATCAAAGAATAATGTTATTTAAAGCTTAAATAATTATAAGACTTATCATTATAATAAAAGTAAATATGTTAAAGTTTAAATGCGTTTCGGACTTATCTCACTAATAAAAAATAAATAAAACGAAATACACGATACTTGCTTCATGGACGTCATTCATTTTAGTTATTACGTGCGAATATCTGGCATACTCTGTTTCGTGTGCGAATTGCGTTGCCTTTCCAGATAACAATATACATATTTATTTACGTTTCACGGTGTTAAACACATACTGATAATCCAGTTTCCAAGAAAGTCAATATAATATAGAACTGTATTATTTTTTTGTATGTGCTAAATAAATGTTAAATTATTAACGAAAATTAATCAATGAGAATGTGCGGAAATTCTTCTAAATCATTTTATTGTTACGCAATGAATATTTATCGCACCTGTTTGACGCGTAATTAACATGGAAATGTAAATGTTGAAAGTGAAATTATTGAGTGTACTGCACTCGTCTATGTCAATGCATCCGCGGAAATCCAATTTAAATCGAGTGAAAATTATGATTAGAAAGTTCTCGTTCGCAACGAGAAGATTAATCACAACTATACGTGTTTTTTTTTCTTTTGGCCATGTGCGTTCGTTTATTTACGTTTTTGTTGCGACTACGTTCTTGGACGCGACGGTATTTCGTAGCCCTAAATTTAGTCTTTTCTGGTACGAAAATAAAGGTGGTATGATTTTATTCTGTACAGTTGTTATTGATGATTTGTAACAACAACAAGGGCCTATCATGACTCTCGAGTATTTTTAGCATTGAACTTTGGCCAAGACAAAAAAAATATATGTTAGGTAACACTAATTGGCGCATTCTCAGAATACTTATTAGAAACGAAAAGTGTTTTTACTTTTCTTATAATTACTAATAAACTAATTACTATTTTTTTTTGCTTTAATTTCAGTTGTTAAGCGGTCAACTTAATTAAAATTTTCATTTGTTTGTGAATAATTGTTCTTCCTTCCACCACCCTTCTCATAGAGACTAAATGCAACATATAACATAGGGTAGTAATATAGACTCTGGGGTTCTGTACACTTCGACTAGGTTGAGTCTCGGAAATGATGATGATGTGAATAGTTGTTAAAATTTTAATTTTATGTAAAACTGAATGTTATTAGAGATGATGAATTGTCATGCTTTCCTGAATTCACTCTAATTAAAGGAATGTTAAACAGTTCATACCGGTTCATAAGAGTTCACATCCATTCATTAATACTAATTTAGAATGTACGTAGCTGCTAAAGTCTGCAGTTTTCGTTAACTGTAAATATCTTGTTTGTTTATAATGTATTTTTAATACGCGCAGGCAGTTGACAGACACGCGCTACAACTGTGTACTAGTGGCAATTTATACTTCAAGGTGGAATATAAATCAGTAAGCAAGTGTACTCGAGATTACCCAAACCAAAATACAAAAATACATAGTTTAAGTTTTATCTTAAAGCCGAAGGTCCGTGGTTAAAAGCATTCGCATTTCAGTCAAACTACTTTTAACGTGTTTGCTGTAACACCACTAAATTTAAACCGGGAAGCAGTTGCTCCACCAAGAAAGTTCCGTCTATTTATACATCGGGTTAAAACATAACGCTTCCACCACGTATAATTAGATAATTTTATAAAGATAATAAAATTGAATTTTTTAATTGTGGATTGAATAATTTTGAACCACAAGCATCAGGATCTGGATGTGATTTTCGCTTGGGCAAGATCAGTATGGATCCGAAATAGAAATCATATTGGATTTCAGGTGGTCGTATAAATAGCAGAGTAAAACAATGACGCAAACATCGTACTTTTAGTTAAAAAAAAAAGAGTTATTGAATCGTTTCTATATTTGTAATAGCCACAAGATAAACAAAACGTTGTAAGAAACAAAGCTCGGAAGATGATCAATAATGGATTCAAGTTACGTGCATTGAATTTCAGTACATGGCGCCAGACACGTAATTTGTTTGTGACAATTTGTGTTAATTATAAATCTTTATTTGTGACTCGGTTGAATGCACGCGCAATATCTTAGCCGAAATCTCATTGCGTAATAGGTATCAAGTGACTTGTAATGGATAGCTTGTAACTAATATTACAATAGCAAGTGCAAGTACTTGCTAAATGAGTTATCAATTTTACTTAAGATTGAGAGAAGAACATTGTCTTCTTCTATTTATATTTTCATTAATTATACAGTTATGTCATGAATGTATAAAAACAATAAAAGTTTATATAAAATGTTATTATTTGGTTTAGGAAATGATATCAGATAATATTGTCTAGATTCCAACAAGTAAAGGTTAATCGATTAAGATTAAACTATGTTATCTGTAAAGTGTAAACATTACAAAAGCTCACGTTTTGCTGTTACACATAACTTCTCATTGTTGCGTGCCTGTTGAAATTGTGTAAACAGTTTGAAATGTTTACGCAAAAAGCAATGTACAAGTAATTCCATCACGCACGTTTCTCGTACTAAATGAAAAATTTCATTTTTTTTTTGTTTCAGATTTTCCTGCTGCTTTTCATAATATTGTACATAGCGAGTTTCGCTCTTCTGGATCGATTCAAGAGACGAGGACGCGAGGATTACTACAGCACCGACGATGATGAGGTGACAGTGTACAGGATCAGTACGTGGCTCTGCACTTTCTCCCTTGCAGTGTCCATTGGTGCTGTTCTTCTGCTCCCCATATCCACCGTCTCGAATGAAGTCCTCATACTCTACCCGAACAGCTATTACGTTAAATGGCTGAACATATCTCTTATACAAGGTATTATAAGTAACATAAGGTGGATGCGTTTTCTTCTCGTCGCTCTGAAAGCTTTTATCACTTGCGATGACTAATGTACTTGCACACATGAACTTTGTCCCCGATGTTTTTATTTTTGTACGTACATAATAGTTTCAATCGATAAGTTTCTTAATTTAGAATATGTTTGTAGATTACTATTGAACATATTTTGAATTAAATTTAAATGAACTACTTGATTCACATTCAAATTATATCCTGCACATTATCAAAAAAAAAGTCTAATCTGTAGAATTGTAATTAGCTAACATAATCTGTTGATTATGACTTTGTGCGATGTTTCCAACGGTTTTCAGTAAACCAATTTTGGAAAGCAAATCCTATTTGTTCATAATATTCTCGATTATTGTTTGTATACACTCACAATGACCACGTTCGCCCACGAAGTTTTTAAATAGATTTATGCATATTTCTTTTTAATTATTTTTTCATCTTCTTGCCGCAGGGTTATGGAACTACATTTTCCTGTTCTCGTTTCTATCCCTCATCGTACTGTTGCCATTCGCCTACCTGTTCACGGAATCGGAGGGCTTCTTCGGCCACCGCAAAGGGCTGATGGGCCGCGTCTACGAGACCTTCACAGTATTAGGTCTTTTGGCCACGGTCGTGCTTGGGTTGACATACGTGGTCTCCGCACTTCTAGATAAGGATAAATCCAGTATTCAAACTCTATTAGGTAATATTATTTGTAATGATCATCTTTATTGAATATTAACACATTCCGTTTTCTTTTTAGATGTTTGGAGCTACCATTTACCTTTCCTATATTCGTGCATATCATTTATTGGAGTATTGATGTTATTAGGTATGGTTTATTTTAAAAATTGGTTTCTAACTATAAGAATCAAGAAATATTTAAAAGTCTTTGAACGGAAATAGATTAAGATGTTAACGAATTTTTTGTTTTAGTGTGTACTCCTTTGGGTTTTGTGAGGCTATTCGATGTTGTAGGACAGTTTCTGATAAAACCGCAATTTATGCGCGACATAAACGAGGAGTACTTTGCATGCGCTCTGGAGGAGGAAACCCTCCGGAGACGGCTGAACCAGGCGGAGATGAACGGTAATTATTGCGTGTCTCCGGCTCCCATGAGCGTGAACGAGTCGGCTCCGATGAAGGACGACGAATTCCAGTTGCCAAAAGGACTGTTACGTTTAAGAAACGGTGAGCTGCGCACCGGACTGAATAAGTTGCTCACCAAGTTCGAGATGAAACGGAAACTATTAGGTAATTAATTAATTTAAAAAAAATGTAATCAGGGTTATTAATTGAATTGGTATTTGTAGATAAACAGCGGCAAAGCTCCTCTATGAGGAGGAACGTCGTCTATCCCGTTTCAATGCTTCTACTGATCGGGTTTACAGGAATCACTGTTTTGATTGTGATGCAAAACACTATTGAATTACTAATTGGGATCAAAGCATTGCCGTTAAGCTCGAGGGTAAGTCTTCAGATATCACTAGTATTGTATTTGTTATTGATTTATAATTTCTTCAGCAATTCACCCTTGGCATTAGCTCGTTATCAAGACTGGGCCCTGTAGGGGCCATCATAGAAATAATGCTGATCCTTTACCTGATAGTGACATCGTCCATCGGACTGTACACGTCGCCTTTGATGAAGAACATCAGGCCTAAGAAGCAGAGCACGCCTTTCAACCTGATCATCGCGAATTGCGCTCTGGTTCTAATTCTGAGCTCCGCTCTGCCGCTGCTGGCTAAAATATTAGGTGCGTACACACTGCAAACTTTTTATAAATTTTATTATAACACCTTTATAATCCATTTAGGTATAACAAATTTCGATTTGCTGGGTGACTTCGGCAGCATCGACTGGCTGGGCAACTTCAAGGTAGTCCTGCTCTACAATGTGGTATTTGCTGTCGCCGCGACGCTATGCCTGGTGAACAAGTTCACGGCGAAAGTCCGCAGAGAGCTCTACGCCCGGTTAGTTGAAAATTACATGTTCCTTTTAAGCTGTGTTTCTTTCCTCAACTAACCCATCATCAACTCATTATCAAGAGAGAGAGAGAGAGACGGTAAAACCATTATGAATACAACAAAAATGACATTTCAAATACATAGAGAGAGGAGAAGACACAATGAATGAAAAGAAAGAAAACAAAAATACCAACGTTCTAAGACTGAGATTATTTATATTATTTAATATTATCGCTATATTATTATGTTATTATTTTTTTTTTTGGATTAACTTTTTTTTTAGAGAAAAGAAACCGCTCAAAATAATGCTGTGCATTTTAATCATATTATTTTTATTTATACGAATGTTGACTTTTTTATACGTGGAAGAACGAGAGGAAAAACAGGATGCATTATGGATTAATGTGATATATACTAATGTAGAGAAATCGATGACTCTTTTATTTTTTATTAATTATTATTTTAGATTGTAAGCTCTTTTTTTTTATATATTAATATTTCCTCCTTTTTTTTATTATATATATCGTCATATATAGTAAATAAAACGAAATGTGATTTTTGTATTCAATCTCATCGGCTATTATAATAACGAATTATATTTGGGCACTCGATGGAACTACCACACACATTCCAGCAACTTCTTATACTTGATGTGCCTTTTCTCTGTATGTAAGTTTGTTCATATATAATATTCAATTTATTTGTTTGTTTCTTCTTTGTTTTTGGCTTCACTCGTGTGTTTTTCTTCTCGCATTAACGCATTCACACACATCCAAATTATTAACATTTTTTTTGGTTTAAGATGTGTTTAATAAAATGGCATTTATATTATCTCTTCCCACCTCCGTTCAGATTTTTTAACGTGCTGGATGATCATCATCACCGTCAGTCGTTTCCGCAATCCGTTGTTCCGACTACTCCGAGACTTTCAGTAATCAAAGTTGAATGATGTTGCTCGTTAATACTTGTTTCGACAAACATTTCCTACACTATTGTGTTTACACAGTAAGGTTCTAGTCTGTAAGTTGTACAATGTTTTGGGCGCTACTATATAGATTTATTTATTAAGAAATTTAAACGATTGTAAATTATGCGAAATTTTTTTAAAAATAGCAACAACAGAAGGAGCGTTGTGATCATGTGAGAGTTTTGTACAATTTATTAATTAATTATTATTGTTATATGAAAAAAAAAATATATATATACTGTTTTTCCCTTTATTTTTTTTTAAATATGATATTACATTCATCGAGAATATTGTATTATAATTATTCAGTTTTTTTCTGTATTAAATTTTTAAGATATTATTTATTAAGTCAAGTCTTTATTATTTCCTTTCATACATTGCGCACTGCAAATATAATTATTATTACATTTAATCTAATCTTTCAATAATCATCCAAAAGTTTAAAAGTCTTTAAATTCACATAAAGTTTGCAGGAAATATTCGGTATGTGTCTCCGCTTGTGTAATTTAAAACTCGAAAACTAATTAGCATTTAAATTATTAGACTTAAGTAATAACATAATAAACGTTTAAGCAATATTCTGATATGTTTGTTTATTAAAATTAGAACGTTTTCAAGGAAATGGATTTCATGCAACGCCAAAATGCCCGAACTATAATCTTTGCTATATTGCTAACAGGTGGCAAAAGCTATCACAAAAACGGAATATCATTTTGCGCCTAAATTGCAGGCAACCAAACATACATATAAACTTTGATTAAAAAGTATGATATTGTCTTCAATAATGAACAGTATTTGCATGAAAACTCACACCCAAAAGTGATATTTTCACTTATTTTATTCTGTGTTTATTTTAGATCAACTTTCTTCTAGAAGCGTCTAATATTATAGTTTGATTAATTAATTATCACGAAGCTATAGTAGCCACAAATCTGTATTTACACTTATTTTAATCTCTGTTTGTTTAAGATCAACATTAAAGTCTAAAATTCATCTGAGAGTTGGTGTATACAAAAATACAGGCAATTTTCGAAGACGTTATTTACCCAACTCATTTGTGAAATAGCAAAGTTTGTTAATCAATTATGAAGACACCATTGCAGCTACAAACCAATATTTACGCTCATTTTAATCTGTGTATATTCAAGATGAACATCCATGTATAACATTCTTCTGGAAGCTCATGTTTACAAAAATACAGGCCATTATCTAAGATGTTGTTTTCCTATTTGTTCATTAAAGTTTATATGTATGTTTGGTTGCTCGCACTTTAGGCGCAAAAGAAATATTCCATTTTTCGTAACAACTAGCGCCATCTATTAGCAATATTTCTAAGGTTGTAGTTCAGGCATTTTGGCGCTGCACAAAATCCACTTCCTTGAAAACGTACTAATTTAAATAAACAAACATATCAAAATAACGCTTGAACAAATGTAATGTTATTAATTTAGTACAATAATTAAAATACTAATTATATTTAGAGTTATAAGCATTTTAATTATTACCAGCAGCGATATCTGTCGGAATTCTCAGGAAATAGTCTGAAGCAGACAATATCATACGTATATGTGGTTGCATACTGTTTCTTGAAAATTCCGACAAATGTTTTTGATTCGCGAAAACCGCCAACTAATTAAAGCTTAATACCTTCCTTATTAATTGACCAAAACTAATTTATTTTATAGCAATCGAAAGCGAAAGAATTATTTTTTAGAATATTAAATTAAAAGTTTAAAATATATATGTATATAACGATTTATTTAACTATTTTTGTCAATTTGCTGCAATACCTTTACATTTTTTAAATTAATCGATTATCACTCGTGATAATTAAACTATCAAATACGCAAATTAAAGAGAAAACTGCAACCTTTCCAAAGAGCTAACTGCCGACATTGTGGTTGGGTCAGTACATCTACTATAAGTTATCAAAATTAAGCATTTTAATTTCATTCTCAATCCAATTTGGCGAGATAATTATATCATCGATCATTCAATTAAAAGCTCAATACCTCACCTTTCTAACGTGCTTTTGCCGAGTCACTTGCTACGAGGTGTAGAAATTGTAAAAAAAAGTGAATAGGATTTTATTAAAAATCACTTTTTCGATGAGATCCGACGAGTTTTCACGTTTTTTTTCTTAATTACACAAAAAATACGTAATTTTTGTTGCATTTCATAATTGCGTAAGATGGGCAAGATGTTATGCTCGCAAAATCATGATTCGCCACTGGAGATAAGCAAAGTAATCAAAATCAAATTTTAAATTAATGAAGAAGAATTATTTTAAGTGGTTTTATATATATTCATTTGATTTCAGTCATAAAATCAATATATTACTTCCTATTGTTATAATTTCGAGGATTTGTATTAATTTGAATCACCAGTTGATTATGTAAACTTTCGAAGAACACTTCGAATTTTAACTTAAATAAATGTTGTAACTGAAACATATTATTACAGTTATTATTTAAAAAAATACAATTAAACCAAACAAATCAGAGTAAAATCCGAATTCACATTATATTCCCCAAATATTCAACTTTAATATGCTTTAATATGTGAAAACAAGCTAGATACCCCAAATATACAAATTTCGTGTACATCTTTTATATTTATTCAATGAAATATAGTTTTCGAGAAAAACTGTACAGAAATCCTCAACTGGTCATGGATATATTTCAGTTAGTTTTACCTTAATAAGTAGTAATGATTTGGTTTGTAAATAACAAGGTAAAAGTTTCCATCGTACGTTTATTGTAAAAATACAAATACATTCTTAATTATCACAGATTACATTAATTAACGCACACTCCTTCCTACATGAACGAATAAAAATAAAAAGAAAATGAACAAACATGTTGACAATCGCACAGGTAATCATTACATTACTAACAATTCGCGTTGCTTTAATGACTAGTTTAACATGCAATTAATTATGTTTATAGGAATACGATACATGTATATATATATAAAATATTTAATAATAAAAATCTACTACTTTTACTATAAAAGTGTTCTGATTTTAAACGTTTGCAAATATAATTGAAAAATATATATATTTAAAAAAAAAATGTTGTAAACTTCCATGGATTGTTCTTGTTTTGTTTTGGCACATCATATCTGGAAAAAAAACAATAAATACATTAGTTAATTTACATTGAAGTTAAAAACTAATTCAGATAAATGTAAAGTTTTGTAGCTTTAGCTGTATGAATTAAAATCAAGTAACTTGCGAAGAATTTTGTATCAAATGAATAAAGTTTGTACTATTTACAGGGTGGCCCAATCGAATTGCAACTTTTCAGAATCTTGTATTTTTTTTTATTTGAAATTGGATTTTATCGAACCACAAACAAAAAATGTTGGATAATAATTAAATTATTTGAATTCATTTCAAATTTTCGATATGGACGCCTTGAGCGCGATCTATAGTTCTGAGTTGATCGACAAGCGAGTAATATGCTGATCGAATGTGAACCTTTGTCCATTCACGAAAAAGGGCTTTGGCCTGTAAAATGACCCATACCGAGAAGTCGAGCGGATTTGTCACAGTCGAAATGAATTGTGAAACGTTGTCTCTCAGCCATTGTTAGTTTTCGTGTGCTTTGTGTGATGGTGCATAATCTTCTTAAAACGTCCACTCTTTCTGACTGAAATGTTTGGTTGTCCACGGCTTCTGAGAATCTTCCAAAACTTTTTCGTAGTAGACATTCGCATTAAAATTGACGCCACGGTCCAAAAACACCAACGGAGAACGACTATCGACCGTCACAACCTCCCAAACTTGACTTCTTCTGGCCATTCCAATGTCTAAATTTCCGATTGACCTCCCTTCTAAGTAAATTCGATCATTTTGTTTGTTTACGAATTTCTCAATCGGGATTTTTTTCTCATCAGACAAGACGATATTTGGCAATTTGCTGCGTTCGTGCAAGCACAACAGCTCCTTCGCTCTATCGAGTCTACTTTTTTTTTCAATATCGGTGAGATCTTGTCCTTCTTGGCACTTGTAAAACTTCACTTTGAGTTCGATTTAGTTGCATGGTTATTTTCTTTATGTTCAACTCATTCAAGTGATTTGTCTTCCACTGCGTCGCGGATTTCATTCAATTCGAGCCTTAACTTTCCGAACTACTTCTACCACAGATGTAGTTTGTTTCCGACCACCAAAATATCATTTTGTAACATTACTAGCTTCATTATAAGATGTTATGGTTTATTCACATTAAGTTGTTCGAGGGCTCTAACAATAACCACATTTGGTTTTCCTCTCAAATATTGGACTATCACACTATTACGTTTGAATTCCATCACTGATAACTTTTTTTCCAAAAAACTGAGATGCAAATGCTTCCGCAGGCTTGTATACAATAAAATCAGCTATCATTAAGCGAAATATGGACACAACATTGCCAACGGTTCAAAAGTTATAACAATTTTAATTTGGTTGCTGTTCAATTGGGCTACGATGTATATTTAATTTTTTATCAATTAGACAAGTTGTTAAATTCTTTGCAAGTTACTTATCGTGTAATGTTATAATGAAGAGTAATTTCTGAATAAATGTTTTTGAAATTGATGTATAAATCTTACGGTATAAGTTCAAAGATGAAGAGATATAATGGAATTGCTTGGATACGATCAGCAGTAACTGTTACTTATTAATAAGCAAATCGATTGAATGTGAATCAATTTTCCGGTTTGCTGCTCGTTAAAAAGGCTAGAGAAGGTCAAAGCGGCGAAAATATGAATCTAAATTGCAAATTTCGTTGCTGCATACGGAATTGCAACCGCATCAAAGGATAAGTGAATTTAATTTGCAAACATAATAGAAATAATAGAGGATAATGATGATAGTCGACTCACGGAGAAATGCCTCATATCGTTCGGATCGTAGAACTCTTCCTCGTTGACCAGCATCTCACGATTTCCATAGCGATTCCTGAAAGAGAATTCCGTTCCATTAGAAGAGAGATATCTCTATTGAAGCGGCGAAGCGAGATACCGAAACATCCACGTCCTCGCGCGCTTCCATAACCAGTTGAACTCATTGACTCTGAATATATTGCCATTAAAATGATTGACACATTTAATGGAGCGAGGAAAAAGTTATGCGTGAATCATCCGAGAAATATACATATACTCACTCCAAGAATCTCCTCCAGGATAACAGTCCGACGTATCCGATGACTGCGATGATCACGAAGACTCCTGCAAGAATCGCGGCCAGCTGACCCTGAACCAGAGGAGTTCGACCGTGAGAAGGAGGAGAAACGTCGATCCTCGAGTCCTCGTTGTTTCCCTCCTGTATCAATTCCACCTGCGACTTCGGTTCGTCCGACTTCTTCACCGGTTCATCGGTCACGGTGGCGTTGTTGATCGGAGATGGTAGGATGCAGCCGTGCAGGAGATCTCCTACCTCCGAGAAGTTCTGCGGATGGTGAGCCAGATGCTCGAGGATTGTCTGGTTTATCCGGATGTTGTGGCTGGAGTTGTCCTTCGGGAACTCGTTGGTGGGAGCGCACAGGATTTGGTTGACCGACGGTACGGTTTCGGTTGCATTTTTAGAGTCCAAAACTTCTGCAGAAGAAAATTGAACGTCGAACGATTAGTAAAAAAAAAAAAGTGCACAAGCCATGGCAATTGCATTTGATTGCCGTTTATTTGCGCAATTATTGACTGTATCGACCGGTTCAATGCAAGGCTATTGTCTCGAAGATAATTGACGTGTGCCAGGGAAATGGTTTAATGATTTCTGGCGCGCAATAGTCACCTTTCTAAATTAATTACATCTCAAAACATATTCATATTCAACATAAAATTGACTCAATATTGTCAAACAAAACGATGACCAAACCTTTATAACTTCTATCAAATTGAAACACATATATTTTGTTAATGAAAGATTATAGTCAACAGCAACTGTTGAAATTCCAATAAGATACATTTTCTTATAAACACAGAGTTCAGTTTTATTTCATACATATTTTCAAATACACAAAACCAACAGAAGCGCATGTGTACATAAACTATTTGTAATAAACTAAATAAACATCTCCACTTCTCGTTATCTGCTGCGTCAAGAGCAAAGACATTTTAAATGTTGTTGTTTTTTTTGTATTGGATGTTGTTGGATTCCTTTCAACAAACCTCACAGCTACTTAGTAAACGAGTGATTATCATATAGCGTAAGATGAATCATAATTCTTTAATGGTTTCAGTGTATCCATTTCTCATAATACAAAGTGATTTTACGTTTCCAACGAACAAACGTAAAATTTTGTATACAGCTTGTATACAGCTTGTATACAGTATATAACTTGAAAGAAATGTCTAGAATTTTGATTGCATGAATAAAATAAAAAGCTATTTATAAAGTCTCAATTAAAATGAGCAATAACAAGCAATGAATATGGATGAGCAATTCAACACTAACCGAAAGAAGTGATATATAACTTAATATGTTATAGACAGAAACGAATGTACAAATAACAAGAATACATTTCCGTCTTCGTAATTGTGTATAGAGTCAATGTCATTGAATCAACACTAATAATATTAAGCCACTAATCCTCGACCTTACTGAAAAAAAAGAAGAACAGAATACGTACACACTTTGTTCTTCCCCGCAAGCGCTGCGTACTCGTTATGCGGCATTTTAAATACATGCATATGCGATCACTCGATACGTCATCGGAAGACGTTTCTACGGTTTCTCCACTTTTCTATTTCTTTTTTTTTCTCTCTGTGTCTGCGAATATGATAATTTCGTAGAAACGTTATACGGTGAAACCTTTCCATAATGATATCAGTAATTTCGTACCTGTACATTCCTTCAGAACTCGTCATTATAATATAATTAACTTCAATTTAACAACTAATTTTAACTTCTTAGACTTACTTCAGTATTGTTTAAGCATTATTTAACAATAACGACCACAAATTATACTGAATTTATAAACGAGATGATTTACGATACGCAAATCATCAAATGCGGTAAGCATTTCTTTTTTTCAAAGAAATCTCAATTAACTTTGGAATTTGATCTTTTGCTGCTGCTGCTGCGCATTGTTTTTTTGTTTTGTTTTCTCTAATTCATTTCACTACATAGTAAAAGTATAACCATACAAGTCATGTTTTCTTAGAAACTCTGAGCCATTCACAGAACATTATAAATCATTCTAAAGAACTCTACTAACACATCGGTTACTATTTTCCCCTCAATTATTTCGACGATTTGTCGCAGCGTTAGCGCTTTTCACAACAAAACGTTAAACTCAATTAAAATTTAATTAACTTTAGAAAATGTGTTTAATTAATCTGTTTATAAACATCATTTCAAAACTGTTTTTCGATTACTGAATGTTTTGTTTTCTAAATATTGTTATTCTCTTTTGTTTTATAATCACATTTTTGTTTACTAATTATCTATAGATAATATTAGTATTTATATAGTATTAGTAATTTATATTGAAAACTATGAGTTTCTTTAACTATTCATATTTTTTATCTACAAGATATTCGTTACACATCCGTGACAAACGTTGCTTAACTTTCGTGAACTGTCAAACGTCAAGTACCTATTTGACGTTTAATATTGATACAATACAACGATTATTTTGTATTTAAATACAAAGCAAACAATAATCCACGCAATCTTTGTTTAAATGAAGCAACCACAATTAATAATTATGTCTACATAACACATGGTTTAAACCAGTGATTCTCAAACTTTTTGATCTGCGACCCCTTTTTGGACATACAAAGTTTCTGCGACCCCCTTTTGCGACCCCTTTTGCGACCCCCTGAAGAATGAGTATATGTAGAAAAACAACCAGGATTGATCTGTCATTAATTTTTTGCGACCCCCTTGGGTTGTCATGACTCACACTTTGAGAATCACTGGTTTAATCTAGACTTAAAACTTAAATTCGTTTTAATTTCACGTTTTTTAATTGTTGATTCTTTCAACATTAAATTGGTAATATTGTTTTAAAAACATAATTATTTTGAAGTAAATGTAATTAAAATGATTAAACTTATAAATTATTTAAAAAAATACATTTATCTACGTGTTTAGAAACGTGCGGAGAATATATAAGTATTATAATTATAGTAATTGAATCGATTAAGTTGAATTTTAAAAAGTATGGATTTTCCTAAAACCATAATGCGGTGGAAAAAAAAAATAAGTAAGTACGTGTTGGAATATAATTTTCGTTGATGTTTAAACTGAGTAGTTTTCTTAGAAACTTTGCGTTCCAATTAAATGATTTATCATTTATAGACCATATAATAATAACTTTACTGGTGTATCAATGATAAACTCAAGATTCTGAGCGTTTATCATTGATACAAAAAGTTTGGTAAATCTTATTCATTTATTGCACAAAATTAATGCTTTTTTGTACACTGAATTAACTCTGAATTATGCATTATATACGTACAACAAGACTAATTCAATTCGCTTATCATTTGAAGCTGTTTACTGCAGTGAATTTCCACTGGGGTCATAAAACGACTAATGTAACTTTGGCTTACCGCAGGTGGTTGTGGCTAGGATCAGAAGAATTCCGAAGAAGACGTCCATCCTGCTGCTGCTGCGGCTGTGATTCTTGTCGAACATCCTCTTTGCAAACGAAATACAGGAACAGAAACTCTCTCTCTGAGTCTCGCCCGTTATCAGGGCAGAGATTAATTCGATAATGTTCTGGTTTAGATAAATGGGAACACGCGATTATTTCGAATGCATTACACAATGTGAATAATGATGATGATAATGGGGAAAGAGTTTGAATTGTGTTCTGTGCTGAACGAAGAAAAAGGACGATTAGTAAGGATTGAGGCACAGGTGCTACAAGCGCGAACTTGCGGAGCGTACTGACTAAGCCTTGATCTTTCGCTCGACTCCTAACTATCAAACGACGACCACCACTAAAGAACTACAACTTGTTTACTTTTTCTGCGTTTTTTTCGAACTTACTTAATCACTGGCTACAGACGAACGAGCGTTTTATCTCCGGCAACGCTCGGACATTTACTCGCATTGTGCAGACACGACAAAACAAATGAATTTATTTATAACTTCAACAGTCTGCTGGTCAATTGGTGATTTTCGGAATTTGTATTGTAACGACGATTAAAAGAAGTTCAATGTTTTCTTAGTGAAGAACAAAAATAAAAGAGATTGTCAGGTGTGGGGTTCGAACCCACGCTCCCTTTCGAGAACCAGAGCTTAAATCTGGCGCCTTAGACCGCTCGGCCAACCTGACTTGTTCAAGAAAGATATTAACATCAAAGAAGTACACATTACTTCATACTTATTATAACGAAAATTTCCTAATTACACATTATGACTAATTCATTAATACATTTCCCCATAAAAATGTATATTAAGATTAAATTTTGTCAAACAAAAATAAATGTAAGTAATAACTTAATTAAATCTCTTAAAATATTTGTCAATCTCAAGGATTTTGAAACATATAAGTAATTAACTGTTATATTTAATGTTATTATAGTATTGATATGCATTGAATGGTTTTTTTCTGAAGGTCTTTACATAAATAATAAACAATAATCGTTGTCACCTTAATGTAAAACCTTTACCGCTCGTCCTTCTCTCAAAATGAAATATGTAAGTATTTTCATAGATAAAATGTATGTTCTTGTTAAAATCGGCCTTACAATTTATCGCATCTGCTTTTGCTTTTGCTGATTCGTCGTTGGAAGACAGCCAAATTGCGTTGAGAAAGTTCCATCAAACTGCAGGAATGCGTATGATCTCGATTGTTGTTCAACAATGCGATTGCCGAAATGTGTGCTCGATTTTCCAATAACGTCGAAGGACTTAAGAAATTTCATCATTTAACGTTTCTTTAATGTTTGTTCAATAATTTTAAACCGACTGTACAATGTATCTTTTGTTTTCATTGTAGAGTAAATGTTTACTAAATGCGTATTTCTTCAGTGCGCAAACAATGTTTAAGAGTTTATGTATGAATCGTTTAAATTGTTTGTTAGCAACATATT